AGACTGTCACCAAAGAAAAAAAAAGAAAAATTGACAAATATTAGCAATATATCAATATACTTATATTACATGTAACTAAATTAATCGAAATATTCATGTGAGTTAAAAGTTAAGTATGGAAAACATGGTACACAAAAAAATGTTTTGTTTGTGTGATTAAACATTGTTAAATATTTAAGTGCCACAAACATTCTTTGTATACTAAGTTCTCACTTTTCTTACTAGTGAAGAAACTGCAGGAAAGTGACTGTAAATCTACTTTCTTTCTTACCTTTCTTTTTCTACTAACATGGTACACCTGAAAATTTCTTAATAATAATGAAAAAAAAAAAAAAAAAAAAAAAAAATAATATATAATAATAATAATAATAATAATAATAATAATAATAATAATAATAATAATAATAATAATAATTTCAAAATAAAATAAAATATGTTGGTGTTTGGAGATGAGACACTGTGTATTAATGTAGCAAGTCAAATCATATTTAAAAATTAAAAGATATTGAAAAAATGTATTTGGAAGAATTTGAAAGATAAATTGATTTAATTGGTATCTTAGTGGAGACAATTTTCACTGACAGATCATGTTTGTTAGAGAAATAAATAGTGAATTTTTTATGGAAAAAAGTTTCTTATAATATTTTAAAAAGATAATTTTATTTGGGGGAAAGAGAAAAAATTCCAAACTAATAACAAACATATCCATAATAATTTGATTGTAATCTAACAAAATCCAACGCTTTAGTCAAAGCACATATATAGCCTTCCTTTTCTTACCCTTAAAAATAGGGATATCTAATTTCGCGTTGACAATTATATGCTACACCTGATGAAGGTTATAGTGTCTGAATTTTTATCGTCGTCTAATCAGAAACTAATTAATAAAATAACTAAAATCAATATTAATATTTGAGATTAATATAAAATATAAAATACTTCATAAATTCGAAACAAAATTTTCCCTTCAAAACGACGAGCACAATAATCCATCTAAATATTTTAGTAAAAATTAATGACTTCTAACCCTAATATTTTGAAAAAGATATTACTAATATTTAAGATAAGTGATTTATATTAATTAAAATTAATATAACAAAAGCCGAATATAAATAAATATAAATGTTGCAGAAAAAAGGATAAGGCCCCAACAGATAGAACACAATATCCACATGCCGAAAAAGTAAAAACGCCAAACATCTTTTACTGATACACTATTGGACCGTATATATATATATATACACGCGCTCGCCTCTAATACCCCTCTCTATTTAATTATTTTTCTCTCTCTCTCTCTCTAAAACCCGAAACCCCTCTTTCTCTCTCTACTTTTTTTTGTCGGTGTCAGATCTCTCTCCCAAAATATCACCACACGAACAACTAAAGGGGGTTCTGTAACTAAGATCCACACACATTCACACACAGTAGTACAATCATTGCTGTATATATAAATAACTAAAGAAGAGAGGATTTTTGTTAATTGTTTTTTTGGTGTTGAGATTTTATAATGAGGGTTGGTTTGGTTGTTTCAACTGTAAATTCGAAGCGTACGAGTTGGGAAATGCGGCTGAGTTTTTGAATTGGAACCTTTTTTTTCTTTTTTTGGGAGAAGATCGTTGAATTTTTTGTTTCGATTCTTCGAGGACTGTTGGAAAATTTCTCTTTAATTTTTTTTTTTTATTTTTTTTTTATTTTTTGTAATTGGGATTTGATTGACAATGCAGCCAGATAGCCATAAGAAGGTGAGCTGTTTTTCTTTTTCCCCCTTTTCTTTGTTGTTTTATTGATTCTGTTCAATTGGAACTTGATTTCGTTCCGATCGAAAATCGGAACTAGTAATTAATTAGGATTTTAGTCTGGGGGTTTTATTAATCAAAAATGTTCTTGAAATTTGCTGTTCTTGTTCTGTTCAATTTTTTACATATGGATATATATCTATGCTTTTGAATCAGAGACATGAAATAATGTTCGTTCTACATATATAATCGAGTACAAATTGTATTAATATCGGTTCAACTATATTTTTATGATCCAATTTTCTTTAATGACATAATAATTAAATCTCATTCCAATGAAAAACAGAGCTCAACGGAATTGGAGTTCTTTTCCGAGTACGGTGACGCAAGCAGGTTCAAAATCCAAGAAGTCGTAGGCAAAGGAAGCTACGGTGTTGTTTGTTCGGCTATCGACACTCATACCGGCGAGAGAGTGGCAATAAAGAAAATACACGACGTTTTCGAACACATATCCGATGCTGCGAGAATTCTACGAGAGATAAAGCTTCTTCGGCTTCTTCGACACCCGGACGTTGTCGAAATTAAGCACATTATTCTCCCACCTTCGAGAAGAGAATTTAAAGATATCTATGTTGTTTTCGAGCTGATGGAATCGGATCTACATCAAGTGATTAAGGCTAACGACGACTTAACGAGGGAGCATTATCAGTTCTTCCTTTACCAATTGCTTCGTGCCCTTAAATATATTCACACGGCTAATGTTTACCATCGAGATTTGAAGCCGAAGAATATATTGGCGAATGCGAATTGTAAACTAAAAGTATGTGATTTCGGTTTGGCTAGAGTTGCGTTCAACGACACACCCACAACGATATTTTGGACGGTATGAATATAATCATCGGAGTCATTATTTATTATTAAGTATCGAAATGTTATTTATTAATCATCCTGTATCTAAAATACATACAGGATTACGTTGCTACAAGATGGTATAGGGCTCCAGAATTGTGTGGCTCGTTTTTCTCAAAGGTATATTTTTGCCTTCATCTGCTTCTTCACTGTCTCGATTTTGATTTCTCTTTTATAATTCAAGATTTCAAATCTCTTGTCATTTGAAAGCTATATTCACATAGGGTTTTATGATAAGGGTATATTTGATTAGTCGCTTATATGTTGTTGAAATTGGTGAATGTTGGCCTTAAATCTTAACTATGTTGCCGTTTAGGTTTAAGGATTTTTAAATTTGAGCCTTATCATAAAGACAGTATTCTGATTGATTGAAAACTAGTGGAATAATATTAGAATGTGAAGTTTGAACACATGTTTCTGATTTCCTATATAGTCCCTCATTTGTTGTCAAATATCGTGAAATGCCATTCATGTTAAGTCTCATCAGTATCACTTGCTATGGAATTGTATTCAACTCATTTATAAGTTGATTAATTTTTGTATGATCCACGACATTATATTGTGTTCCCATTCTATAAAGTATTGATATTTCTCGAATTTTTGTCGCATATTTTCAGTATACTCCTGCAATCGATATATGGAGTGTCGGCTGCATTTTTGCCGAGGTTTTGACGGGGAAGCCACTTTTTCCTGGAAAAAACGTCGTTCACCAGCTCGATTTGATAACTGATCTTCTTGGAACTCCTTCAATGGATACAATTTCTCGAGTACGCATTTCTTACCTAGTTAAATATCCGTTTTAGTTTATTTAATTTATTATTATTTTTTCTTAATTTTGCACACACGGGCCAACCTGTTTCTTGTATTCTTAATTAGGTGCGAAACGACAAGGCTAGGAGATATCTCACTAGCATGAGAAAGAAACAGCCTGTTCCTTTTTCTCATAAATTTCCAAACGCCGATCCTTTATCCCTTCGTCTTTTAGAGAAACTACTTGCTTTTGACCCAAAGGACCGCCCTACAGCTGAAGAGGTTTGAGACAACCTAGTAATATTGATATATTTATTTTATTTAATATGGATTTCTTGATATCTTGTGTTAATTTTTTTTCAGTTGTTTTTTCACGTTTTATTTATTTATTTATTTTATTTTTTTGTGCGTTTTCAGGCACTGGGTGATCCGTATTTTAAGGGATTGACCAGGGTTGATAGAGAACCATCGGCTCAGCCAATTTCAAAGATGGAATTTGAATTCGAGAGGCGAAAGGTCACAAAGGAAGATATACGAGAGTTGATATTCCGTGAGATATTGGAGTACCATCCTCAGCTGCTGAAGGATTACATTAATGGAATTGAGGGAACTACTTTTCTTTACCCAAGGTGATTATTAATTTACTGTGATCTGTTTTCTTTTCGATATAATATCAATTGCCTGATCTTTGAATATGTATATATATAATTCTTGTGCAGTGCCGTTGATCAATTTAAAAAGCAGTTCGCTCATTTGGAAGAACATAGTGGTAAAAGTGGACCGGTGATTCCACTTGAAAGAAAGCATGTTTCCCTTCCTAGGTATTATTATGTGCAAAATTCACCTCTTTTTTTCTTTTCTTTTTTTTCGTCTTCCGTTTGTTACCATTACTGGTTTGTTTGCCATCTGTCTTGTTTAGTAAGGCCTCGTTTGGTTGGGGAGATTAACCATTATTAACTAAATAATTGGACTTTGTTTGATGTTTGGTATCCCCAATGACTTATCTGGTCGACCCGCAAATATTATGTTATCATGGGTTATCTTGCCTTTTTAGAGGGAATTTTTTGTTGGACGTCCAATAAAATAATTGGGTTTCCAGTAGATTATTTAATCTTATCTTGGCAACCAAACGAGGCCTAATTATGTTAAATTTTGGTAACAAGGCTGTTCAATCTTTGTGATTCTATATGTATAGTCTATTTAGGCCTTGTTTGGTTCCCAATATAAGATTAGCCAACATAAGATTATGTATTCCTATGAAATCCCAATTGTATAATTGTGGGCCGGCTAAAAAAGTTATATTGGACTAACCAAACATCAAATAAGATCTAATTACTAACTAATCATGCCTTATCTTGTCTTACCAATGAAAAGATGCCTCTTTCTACTTCTTTTCGTTGTTTCTTGGCCTTATGAAGCGGTTTGTATGGTTTATTTGCTAATGATGTCAAGATATTTTATTTTATTTTGCTATGCTAGAAAACGACGTCCCTTTTTAGTTTCAAGAAAGAGACTTTATGATGGAAGTATGATATGTAAATAATTAAAATTAAATTGCTATAGTAGTAAATTAGCTTGAATACAAGGGCGAAGTCATGAAGTGTCGTTGGGTTACTATTATTCTCTTAATTTCATTTTTTGTTATTTTTCTAACATAATATAAACTCTTGTAATTTGTGCAGGTCTACCGTTTTACATTCAAATACGGCACCTCCAAAGAATCAAACCACTGTCGATGGAATTCACAATAGTTTATCAAGAACATTACAACCCCCTCAAAGAATCCCCCAGCTCGGTACTTGTTTAATTTAAAGTTTTAAACCCCTTCTCGTGCTTCTTCTTTTTGACTTTTTCTTAATTATATTTACATATCTTTTCGAGTAATTATTATTATTTTTTTTAATTTTAAGAGTTGAATCATTTTCCTCGTTTCATCTAAAATTCTCACGGTTGATTACTTTCTTGGAACTTTTAATACTCAGCGAAACCAGGCAAAGTAGTCGGTCCAGTTATTCCATCGGCTTCTTACAGTTACAACAGAAGCAGCACAGGGAAACCCGAGAGATCAACGGCCGAGATTCGTAGAGAATTGCCACCACCTACGAAGCAAATACCAAGCTGTGCGATGGCTGCCAAATTAGCACCCGATATAGCTATAAATATAGATACAAATCCATTCTATACGATGACTCGACCTGCAGTCGCAGCGAAAACGGATCAAGTTGACGACAGGGTCGTGATCGACACAAATCTTCTACAGACGAGAGCACAGTATGGTGCAGGTGCACCACCAGCTCGAAAAGTAGGTAGTGTTGTTCATTATTCTATGGCAAAGATGTATTAATCTGCTGTAGTGTTTAATGTTTAAGATAGAATATGTGTTTGGTGCATGGTGAGGGTGTACAGAGTGGACGAGTGGCCGTCGAAATAACGAGAAAATGTCTCGAAAGTTTTTGTGATTTTTTTATTTTATTTTATTGTGAAAAATAGTAATATGATTTATACGTTGCATTTGCAACCACCGAAAAAGTGTAACATCAAAAATAAAAATAAAAATAAAAATTAAATAAATATATCCAAGAATGATAATTTTGTTTTGAAAATCTTTTGCAAATACCATGTAAAAATATGCCAATACAATGAAATTTAACTTATGAGACATATTCTCATATTATTAGTACATAAGATAAAGGGCAAATTACGGCTGCCCCGAGACTAGATAAAGTCAAATTATAAAAAAATTCATCTTGTTTATAAAATTACAAATACCTCCTTCAACTATGTATTAAGTTACACGTTCACCCTTATGATATTCAATTTACCTGCTGAATGAGGTTTGTTTATTTTTGTTTTTTTTGGGGGAAGACAGTACATAGTTGAAGGGGTTGATTGTAATTACTCAAACAATAGCGGTTTTTTTCGGGTTTCATTGTCTGGAGTGCATTTCGACCGACAAAATTCAGAAATTCAACCGTGAGTTGGGGCTACCAAGCATGAAGCCCCTCAACCCACGCACACACACGCGCGCGAGAACAACCTAACTTTATAAGGAAAAAATCATTTAGCTTATGTTTGATTTTTGTTGAAAAAATAATATTGCGTTAAAACTTTAACCCTGATCGAACAATATTAGAAATTAATAATGAAATGCATATATATAAGTGGATGGGATTGGAATGGATGGAATTTTGAATTGTGGTTGGCAATTGATCCAAGAAAAAGTTTTTCTACTCCCAATGTAGAAAAAAATTAAATAAAAGGTTGAATAGGTAAATTAAATACGAATTGTTGTTAGTGAAATGTCGTAACGTGACTGGCAGCAACAAAAGAAGATTTGGTTGCTATTGTCACATGGGACTCTTCGAATGCCCCCCCCCCCCACCCCCCCCCCCCCCACACCCACCACCCCACCCAAAGCCGACCCCTGTCCCCTAGCTGGAAACAGCACCACTCATATTGTAAAGCAAGTACAAGTTCGTAGATTTGGATTTTGGACCATTCTTTTCAATTAAATTCACTCTTCTCAACTAATGTAAAAAAAAATCCTGAAAAAAGTAACGAAACATACTGTCAACAACTTAAAACTAAAATCATTTTATTTTGGGTAAATTATAACTATCTAAGTATAGTTAAATTACAAAAAATCTCTCATTTTTTGATATTTACATTTATCTCTCTCAATTATGAATCTTCTTATATGTCCACCCTTATGGTGTCGAATTCAACTTAATCTTCTAGATTCCGTGGAATGTTCTCTAATTTGTTATCGTTTTATACAAAAATGCATTATCTAATGCAACACAGTGTGATAGATACAAACCAAAAAATACACCTTATGATCATCTTGATTCAAAATGTGGAGTTCAAATGGGGTAAAACGGGTACAAAGTGGAAAATATTCCATATAATCTAGAAGATTCCACTAAATTTGACACCGCAAAAGTGGACGTGTGAGAAGATTTATAGTTGAAGAAGTGGTAGTTGTAATTACCCAAACATGAGGAGTTTTTTTCGTAATTTGACCATACCTAGGGGTGGTTGTAATTTACCATTTTATTTTTCTAAATTTTATGGCGTACGTGTGTCGATTTATTGTATGTATAGTGTATACTGCAATACCCTTCGCTAGACTTCGAACCACGGTAATTTTTTTTTAAGAAATTCAAAATCGTGTTAAAAATTGGAAAAGTAGAAAATGAGGCATAATTCGAACCCTAGACCTCAACTCTAACAGTAGAGGTTAGGTATCAACTCTTTTTACGAGGGTTGGTCGAAGCCTTGTAATTTTAAGTCCACCCTATTTATAAATTTCTGAATCTTGTCGGTCGTGCAACTCTATGAACATAAATGGAGTTGATATTCACAAGTTATCAAGAAAGAGTACAATTAAAAAGATAAAGACATTGAAGGAGGTTTCAAAATATATATCAAAAGTCAAAACAATACAATGTGAAGCGCATCAAAGATGAAAGAAAAATATGCTATATGGTATATACATGACTTTTACATATGGGTATTGATTCGGTAAAACTTTGTACCAAAATTTCGGTACTTCGAAAATTTGAACTGTTTATCAAATCGAACTATTCAGTTTGGTATGGTTTTTTTACCAAATTAATTCGATTTTTTTGGTTCGTTACTGGTAAAACCGAAAATATATTTTCTTATTTTCAAAAAGATAAAAGAAAATATATATATTTAAATTAATTAGTTCTTGAATTCGACTTCAAATTTTAATAATCGGCCCTAAAAATAAAAAAGTAACTATCAATAGAGGCTCATATGTAAGTAATGGAAAAAAAAAATCACTCTAAAAGTATTTTATAATTTGTATAACCTATTTAAAATAAAATAAATAATAAATAAATAAATATATATTTATATATTAAATATTTGAGTA